TTAAAATTAAAAAATTCATAAAGTTTATTTTTTAAGGATTAGATTAAATTAAGCAAGCTAATTTAAATGCTGTCTTTACGAATTCACTTCTAATTTATTCATTTCATAAACAGCTTTGATACTGTCACTTTTAATTTATTCATTTCATAAATAACTTTGATACTGTCACTTTTAATTTATTCATTCCATAAATAACATTGATATTGTCGCTTTTAATTTATTCATTTCATACACAACTTTGATATTGTCGCTTTTAATTTATTCATTTCATAAACAACTTTAACATTTTCAGTTAAGTTTAGCAATAATCTGAATTATAACTTCCTAAGGTTTAATTTTTAATTTTTAATAAATAACTTTAATCATCTTAATTTAACTTCAACAATCTATGCATGCTCATTTCTCTAACGACCATACAAAATCAAATTCCATGGCAACAACATTTGGAAAACATTAGTTCCATCCAAACTATTTACTTCTGATTAAAGAATGTCATCAAATGTCACATCAACATATCTCATGTGAAAGACTTATATATGCTAACATTTTAATCAATCTGTTGAGTTAAAAAATGACAAAAAATTTTCAAATGTAAATTTTGATCGATCAAAAAAAAAAAAAAAACTGATAATGTTATATCAGTTCGTTTTGTTAAGGAAATAGTTATCACTTCAAATATATATTTCTAATTTATATCTTTAAAAAAGTAAAATTGTATTATTTAAGTATGTGGAATGGTGTATAACCTATCTATTGCCATTTATTGTCACCAAATTGGGTAGTCCAAAGATAACGATACGTCGGATAACGAATCAAATGCTTACAGCTTACTTAAAATTGGAACCTAATGCTTTAAATATCGTTCAGGTAGCTTTTTTTTTACTCTATACTATAATTACTTTTGAGATTGTCACTAAACTCGTAATATTCATAATTTAAATGAAATAGTTAATTGAAAATGAGAAACTTTCTGAATTTATAAATCAAATATATTAAGCAAAATTTCAAAATGTTGACAAACATTCCAAACAACTATTTTGATTATTCAAATTTTTTAAGTGAAAAATTTAATTTATAAGAAACTATTCAAAATTGCTATCTTTAATTGGATCATTTAAGTGAAAAATTTAGTTTGTAAAAAATTTAGTTTATAAATTCAAAATTGCTATCTTTAATTGGATCATTTATTACTTATTGAAAACAAAATTGTAAATTATTTAATCGTAATAACAATATCAAAAAATTACTGTAACAGAATCTTTTTTATAGAAGATGATCGCAAATTTTCTTTTAAACGATGAAAACGATGAACAAATAAAAGATGAAGCATTAAGGGAAATTCCAAATCTTATGATAATGGAATGTATCGATCAAAATTGGAAAATTTTAATTAGTAGTTTAGCCGAAATGTTGCATACAATTTTACCAGAAAAACATGAAAAAATCATTCGTCTATTTGCTCATTTTGCTGGTTTGTTTTGTAATATTAAATGGATTAAAATTATTTTTCAATCACATTAATTTAATCAATCATTTGTTAAAATTTTTTAAAATAATTACAATAAGAAAAATTTGAAATGGAATTTTTATGCAAAATTAATCATTAATTAATAAAATTAATCCTCTTCTGTATTGGTATAAATTTTAGTGAGTTTTAAGGCTTTTTGTACGAATTATTTGGAACAAAAATTTGTGCAGTGTATTAATTAAAAGTATTAATTAATTAGATGATAGCAGTAAAGAATAGGCAAAAATTGCGAATAAATTCGAACATTAAATAATTTCATAAATTATAAAGTTTTAATGAATGAAAAATTCAAGCAAGTTTCAATTTAATATATTGGAATAATCAATAATTCATTGTTAAACATTTACATGTTATAGTAATTCATATCAAATTAATTATTAATTTCATGTTTCAATTTAATTAATTTAATTTATTCTTTCATTTTTCTTTTTTTCAGTATACTTAGGTACGGAAAGATTGCAAAAGATTCTATCAGAGTTAACTACCAAACAGTATGAAATATGCAAAAAATATGAACGAATAATCTTTGAAACAAGTGAAACAATGAAAGGTATATTTACTTCTTCCGGATTTCCGAAGTTAACTATTGATCAGATTTTATTCACCTTTTTTTCCGGTAAGAAAATCCCTGAAAAGTGATTATACTGGAGTTTTTATTCATATAAAATATTAATTGGATGAAATTTTGAAATTTTAAATGAATTATATGAGAATTTTAAATTTTAGTACTAAAAAAAAAAAATTAATTCTATCATTTTTTGATCATTTCATGCTTTTCGAAATTAATTTCTTCAAATATAATTTCAGAAAGTCTTACAAATAAAGAAAAAATTCCATCAAATACCGATGTGGAATTACGATATCGATTTGGTATTATTCCAGTATTAACCAGTAATATGCTCAATAACGAAACTGATCCAACATCGAGAATTATTGCTCTCGAACAGGTAAGTAAAATGAAAAAATTCATTTGTAAAACAAAAGTATTTAATTAAAAATCTCAAAAAATTAATTGACAATTTCATTTTTTCTTTTTTAGTACTAAATACTAAATATCATAGCTAATGATAAAGGAATGAAATATCATATCAGAATCTATCAGAATTTATTTTAGGTAAATGAAATTATGAATGGAATAACACCTGAAGAGGCACGTAAATTTGCAACCCATTTGCATTCATATTTTCTAACTTTGGGTAACGTCTTGGATGATTTAAATTTTAAAGTTGTCACACTTTGTTTAGATGTCCTTCGTTTGACATTGGAAAAAGTTGGATCATTTCTAGCACCATATACGCAGGTTTGTCATCAAATTATCATTATTAGCTTCAAATATTATTAAATACGTGGAATTATACGTACGTCATGACGCATACATTTTGAGTTTTAAATGAATAACTTATTGGTAGCTCATAAATTTTATCAGTTTTTTCTTTTTTACTCAATATCAAATTAATATTAAGAAGTTTTTTTTTTTTTTCAAACTTGAATTTATCCAATAATAGAGATGATATTTGATAAATGATCAGAAAAAAGTAATACAAATTTTCATTCCATTTCATAAGATTAAAGTTAAAATTGCAGGTTAAAGGTCATTTGAATTATATTGTTAATAGTGTTTATTCTGCATGAACTTAAATGATCCCATATGATCTTTCATTTTATAAGATTAAAGTTAAAATTGCAGGTCAAAGGTCATTTGAATTATATTTTACTGGAGTTTATTTTGCATGAGCTTAAATGCTCCCATATGATCATTTATATATTATGTTTATTTTAGCAAGTAGTTGGCTTAATTTCGAAACATTTTGGTAATCAAAAATCTGCAATAAGACAACAAATTATGGCAATTTGTATGATAACAATGCAAAATTGTTCACCTAAAAGTGTCATCTCATATTTATGCGTTTATTCGGAACATCGAAGTTCACGAATTCGAGAAGAAGTTTGCATCCCTTTCATTAGCAAATTTTATAAAATCTTTTCTTCATGTTAAAAATTTAAAAATTTAAGTTAACTAATTTTTAATTTTTAAAAATTTGGAAAATTTTTACAAACTAACAGGAATTTATTTTCAAATAAAATTTTTTCTATTAATTAAAGATAAACAGTTTTGTTAAAATTTTTAGTTTCAATTTTATTCTTTACTTTGCATGTTGGCTATTCATTACTTTTGTTTATTGTTTTTTTTTTTT